CGGTATTGTTTGGCAAAAAATAATTTATCGGAGATCTATTTAGCGGTTTTTCTCTTTTTCATTTCATTATATTGTTTTGTATATGAAAACGAAATAAGGGGCAAAATATGAACCCCAACAAGATCATATGTGTTGTGTATGCTAAGAGTATGATTACTTTTTCGACACGATCATATATTCTTATCAAATTTTTCCTTCATTTGTTGGGGACATAGCACCTTTTGAGCACTATTGTTTTGACCAAAATGCCTTTTGGGGTAATATTTTGATGGAGAATGCATAGTTAAAAAATAAAGAAAACTTCTGTGTGTGCGTTTGATATTATTTTATTAAAGAATGTATGGTTGAAAAGAAGATAAAGAAAAATATATTTTGAGAATAATGGGAACCAAACAATTGATAAAACTTAACTTTTGTGTTCTTAGAGTTGGTTTTATTTCTTAATTTCGTCCAATAGATTTGGTATTCAAAATTACATACTAGAAACTGCTCGTCGCTAACCTTTTTGAGTCTCTATTTGGTTCAACAACAAAAGTGAACTGAAATATACATCATAATCAACAATTAATATATAATATATTAAGGCTGTGTTTGGTAGCAATTTTTCTAACCAAAAAAATGAACTTTCTAATCGTTAACATCAAAATCAGCCGCAAAATTTGACTGGCCCTTTCACATGAGGGTCTCATTGACAACATTAAACGGTCATAGTTTTAATTAAAATTGGGCCAAAATTGCTACCAAAGAAGCACTAAATATCACATCAAGTGACAATCATTTTTTATACGATTATAGCCCTAATACAATTCAATTATTTCATTGATACCTTTTTTTTTTAGTTTTCAATATGTATTTAATTTATGAACTGTAATAAATATTACAAAATCATTGTTCATGCATGTATTTCTTATTATTAATTTTCAATTAATTAATATCCATATTTATTTAATTAATATTAATTAGAATTTCATATTCATGTCCACTGCCCTAGTATTAATTCCCAATTAATTAATATTCTCGTTCATTTAATTTAATTAATATTAATTAGAATTTCACATTCAAAAATATATTTTATTATCCACATCCATGTATGCAAAACTCGGGAGTGTACGGGATCATTGACAAGTAATACGTGATGAGTTAAGAGTTATCGTCCAACAGGGAATACATTTCAATCAAGTGTATTAGTTTTTATTCAGATTCAAAGTGAGCAAACAAAATAGAATTGTGGTTGATAATTATTGTAAATTATTCTATGAAAGTTTGTAAAATTCGAGTTTTGTATTTATATGGAATAAATGTATTGGATTACGAATCCACCTATTATTATCTATTTCAGTTCTCAATTATGTAGCTAGTATCATTATGCATTCTTGAGAATCGATAATTCTATTGTAATTAATTCTATTTTTCAAAACAAATTAAATCTATTCTAATCACGACTCAAATCTATTCTTAGTACGAATTCGAATGAATAGAATGCATTAAAGTTTATATTATCCCAAAAATTGCACACGTGATAAATATTATTACTAATATCTATTGCACACATGTTAATCAATCAATGTTCTCGACCTATTGTGAGCCACCCAGCACAACAACAAGCAACTATATATTTAATTGGTGATCAAGTAATCAAATAATAAAATTATGAATGCAAGATTGATCAAGAAAAACAAGGAATTAACTAACTACTTGTCTTGAATTAAAAATAAATAATAACAGGTTTCATCTTCATCCAATACATGAAAATAATTAGCTTAGCATATTATTAGGTAAATCACACAAAAAGATTTGGAAAAACATCACCCGGAATGAAAAACAATGAATTGAAAATGAAAAATCAATTTCTTCTTCAATAATCTTCAACCCACACTTTGAATCTTCAATCTTTTGTGTTAATTACCTTTGAATCTTGTGCTAGCTTCATTCTTGGGGTGAAAAACCCACCCAAGAAATAGGTTGCATTTGATTTTTATAAGAATTTGGATAAAACAAGAAAATTAGGCCGTTCAGGCCCAAAAATGGCATGTGCGCGCCGTTCATTAGTTTTGGGCTCAGTAAATAAACTTCATGCTCGTGCACGCACCAGAGAATTGGCATGTGCGCACGCGCCGTTATACAATTGGCCATTTGTTTCATTTTGGTTCCCGAATTTCATTCTTTAGTTATTTTGGTTCATTTTTTGTATCTTCTTGATCCTCCATCTTCCAAATCCATCTAATTGACTCTAATATCTCTCTAATCATCGATACTTTGTCCAAATCAACTATTATAATTTTTGCGATTTATTCCCCGAATTTTGGATTAAGTCCACTTTAGCCAATTTTCAGCCAATTTTGTCCAATTTCATCGTTTTTCATCGAGATGCACCTAAAAATAAAATATATACAAAATTAACCCTCAATTCATTTAAAATAACAACAATTTCTCTAGTTTAATGCTACTGATAAGTGTATCTATAGATCTTCGATCGGGATACCATATCCAAGCTCCGTGGCTAGTATGTGCTCTTTGGACTTTTTTTCATTTTCCGTCCTTTTTTGTCTAGTAAAGAATAATAGTCGAAGTTCAATTCCATAATTAAAGATCAGTTCTATTTGTACCCTTGAGCTATTTTTACGTCGAAGAATGTTCATTAATATCTAATACAATATAGGGATGTCAATTTGGCTCATCGGCTTGAACGGTTTATGCCCCGATCCGGAAAAATCCTGAGCCAACCCTTTCAACTCGGGCTGAGCCTCATTATTTAGGAATTGGCATGAGCTCGAGCCAGTTCGTTATGAGCCACAAAATCATGGGCCGTATTGGCCCATGTTAACTGCCTGCACAAAAGGTGGGCAGTCAACACTAAAGGCAATAGTAGCATACTTTAAACAGGCAGTTATAGCTGCCCAGCACAACTACTTGAAACGGCCAATGTAGATGCCTCAAACTGAGGGGGAAAAGAAATAATAATAATAAAGCTTAGATTTTTCGACTGAACTTTTCCTTGGCTCGAACAAAAAAAGTTCTGGCCATTTTTTACTCCAACCATGTCTGAGCCACGAGTTTTGACTCGTGAGTCGACTCTGCTCGATTCATTTACATTCCCAATAAAATGTGGTGGGAAAGTCGCATTTACGGAAAAAAGAAAACGAGAGAATAAAACGAAATATAATTAATTTAGATTTTGTTCATTAGTGAAAGGAGGAAGCAATGATTATTTATAGTGGGTCCTTATTAGTTATTACTAGTCCTTACCTCGTGAAGTTCACGTGTGCCCGGCACAACTGGGACCCTTTGTCCGACACTACTCTCTGGTGGTCCAGCTTACTCAACTTCCAATTCCAACGCTCTCTCTGTCCACTTGTACATTGTCATTTACATTTTGTCCATTTGATATATTATAAATTAGAGAAATGTTGTTTGTACCGGGGGTTGACAACCCCCCCCCCCCAGGATTTAGAAAAATATGGGGGCGTGATATCCTTAACTTCGGATTTGTGGGAAGGGATTAATAAGAGAGGTTATATAGCTGCAACTGCACAGGTGGGCCCCCCACCATTGTGAGGGGCCGGTGAGGGGGGTTGTCAACCCCCTCCCCCCGGTTTTAAAATAGGTGGGCCCCCATCATTGTGAGGGGCCGGTGAGGGGGGTTGAATTAATTCCCATGTTTATTTACAATATTAAAGTTCGATATCCTAATTTTCAATGAACTTTTTTATATATATTTTTCAATTGAGATTAAAATTATTAAACTTTCCAAGGTTTCACTCAACTTTTATAAGCTCCTATTCGGTGGCTATTAAAATTGATGTTTTAGTAGATTTTGATAAAAATTGATGAAATATATGATTAAAAAGTTTTGAATTCCATGAAATATGTGGTTAAAATTAGTTATTGATTTTGATTTAAATTTTAATTTCTATCAAACATGGGATAAATGTTTTTCAGTTCCCATTAAACATTGAATTTTTTTCTAATTGTTACTGAAATTACCACTATTTATTTCATCGGTCACTCACCATTTAAAAAAAAATACCCTAGTCACGATTTTCATAATGGGGCATATACTAACATCGAAAGCATGCCACCGTTGAAAATTTTGTCTGCCTTGTCATATGTCAGTTAACTTTCAAAATAGCGAATGATATCAATATAACATTTTAGTAAATTCAGTAAAAACTTGAAAAACTTTTAAAATTCAAATTGCAATCAAATAATTATTTGCAAAATTGAATAAAAATCCAATATTTTTCTTTAATACATTGTCAATTGAAAGTTCGTTTGCAATTGGCATACTTAACCTACATTATTCACTTTATATCAACTGTTATCTTAGACTAAATGAATTTTCATTTTAGAGGTGGATTTTGATTTTTCATATTGTTATTTCTTATTTATCTAGACAATTTGTTCGAAAATGTGAAATGGACTAGACAGGACGGTAACTAGCTAAATGTCAAATTTTGACTTTCGGAGATTATACTTCCAAGTGATTAACATTTCAAAATTTTATCGGAGTCTGTTGGTCAAATTACTCTACCTTACTTGCACTTTTCTATTTGTATTATTAATCATTTTAGTCTATCAACCTTTCATTAATTGTGAATTTTGGTGTCGTTCTCTACTTCCGTGAGGAATTTGGTAACTTTGCTGGTGATCGCAACTGTCTCGTTATGATTGCATGTCATATTAGCTTTCGATAGAGAAATTCTCAAAAAAATATTGACCGAAAATGTATGATATATTATTAATTTCCACGAAAACTAAGATCAAGAAAATTCATAGTACTTTTATATTTCTCAACTTTAAAAAAAAAAGTTACAAATAATCATAAAAAGAAAAAAATCTATAATAGCTAGCAATCAAATTATTTTTAAATCCCAAAATCCAAGGAAGCACAACCTTCTACTCCTACCAAATTTAGGCAGTAAAAAATGAACACAAACAATCTCAATATTATTACATAGCTAAATGAATACAAACAATCTAAAATTATTAATTCATGTTTATTAAATATCCTCCAAAGCTAGATCCGATGGGAGTTGGTATCCATATATCATAGAGTAATCATCCATCTCATCGCTCGTAAAATTTGGTATTCTTCGACTTCGTACTAGCTCCGAATCTTGGCCATAAGTTAACAATTGAATTACCTGCAATTAATACACATTAAAAACATATTTTAACGAATATGAATGAAACATACTCTTTCGTGGGGATTAAAATCAGATTTTTAATAAATTTTAATGAAATATATTGTTAAAGTTAATTACTGACTTTAATTTATATTAATCCCTAACAAACATGGGTCTTATTGGACCACCTTGCTTGAAAGATGAAATTATTTGACGAATTTATAAACGAGGAATAAATAATAGGTCTCGTTATTAATAAATGAGTAGTAATTATGAATGTATGATTGAAATTAATGTTTGACTTTAATTGAATTTAAAAATTAATTTATTATTTTTCTTTTATTTGTGGTCTAAATTATTATAAATGTGTGATTGAAATTAATGTTTGACTTTAATTAAATTTATAAATTAATTCAGTATTTGTACCCGAAGGCCTAAATTAAGGAAAAAAAAAAACTCTATGAAAACAAACCTCGGTCATAGATGGCCTCCATATGGATGATTGTCGTACACAATATGAAGCAGTGAGTACAACTCTATGCAATTGATCCATGTCATATTCACCTTCCAATTTTGGATCTGCCAATTGAGTTAAATTCCCAGATTCCATAATGGGTCTCGCCTAATCACATTTAAGGTTCGGTGTTACTAATGGAAAATTGAAAAAATAACTAAAAAGAAGTTTAAAATTTGATCGTTCAACGTTGATACTAAGGGTCGATTTTTACCCATAAAAGCAGGCTTTGTTCTGAATCGACGGGCTTCCGCCCAGTTACGATCTCCAAAAGAAGCACCCCAAATGCAAAAACATCTATCTTCTCATCCACAATTCCATGCATAAAATACTCTGGAGCTAAGTACCCGAATGTGCCCTCAATTGGAACAACAGCATGGTGAGTCCACTTATTGGGCAACCATTTTGCAAGCCCAAAATCAGATATCTGCAAAAGATTGAATTCAAACTTCCACAAAATAAAAAAAAATTAAAAAAAATATTTGAAAAATATTCCGATTTTTAACCTGTGGTTCGTAATCTGGAGCTAGAAGGACGTTAGAGGCTTTGATATCACGATGTATAATTCGATGTTTACAACATTTGTGGAGATAATGCAGCCCCCTAGCGACTCCAAGTGCGATTCTGAATCGAATAGGCCAGTCAAGTGAGTTGCATGATTGACCTGTCACGGCAAATTAATTGTAAGTTTTCATCTAGACGTGTTTGGTTGTTCTTATAAGTAGTGGGTTAAGTCAACGTACCATGTAATGCCGATGACAGAGTACCATTGGGATAGAATTTGAAAACGAGATAAAGGCCATTTTCAATGCAGCAACCCACTAATTGTGCAGTATTAGGATGGTTGATATGTCCAATTATGCCCAATTCCATAAGAAACTCTTTTTCCTTGTTTGCATTTGAATTATCTTTGGTTAAACGCTTCACTGCTATGTTGCATCCACTATCAAGTTCCCCTTTATAAACCTCTGAATATCCTCCTTGTCCTACCAAGTTTTCTGCACCAAAAACCTCTGCTCAATTTTACTTGACTCGTAAGATGAATTTGTAGTCGTACCAAGAATTGAGAATATACTCAAATAAGCCCGTCTGGGGCTGTTCAAATGAAAAAAAAAAAAACCCAATTTTCATTTTTTCAACAACTTGTCGGATAAATTAGAAGCAGCTGTCTTTTTGGATATTTGAATTACCAGAAATGCCCCCCTCAAAAAAAATTAATGAAATGTTAGAGGGGCATATAGGTCATACTGTTATCTACTTTAATTGCTGGGTATTAGTAATCAATCAACTGTAGCAGTCAATATATGTGGCTGGCATGGGACCCATTTACACTAAGTGTTGCACTGTACAACGGTCGAAAAATGGCTAAAAATAGGAGAATAAGCTGTCCCCGACATGGGCTAAATAGAGATATGTTTGTAGGATAAGTTGTGACGTATTTTGCCGAATTCTTCTTAAAAACATTAGGTTCTTGGTAAACAAGTTAGAATAGAAAGGTATAGACCTAAATTAACACGGCCGTCGTAGTTGTTAACTATCTAGCTACTTTAGATTCAGGGGTGGACCTTTGTTTAAGGAGATTGGCCTATAGGCCACACAAAATTTGTGTCATTTGTTTTTCTTTCTTAAATGTAGCCTAGAAGAAATAAATTCATTCTCAATCTGGATTTTCTAGTAAATTTATCGAGAACACGACTTTGTTAGGGTTGTTATATATCAAAATATAATAGAAAATAGGAGAAGATATAATTGCATTTTACCTGCATGGAAATTGTTTGTGGCTTTTGCAATCTGTTGATAGCTAAAGCACCTTAACAAAGATTGCTGCTTTCCTTTGAGGCTGCTACCATTTCGATTTCCTCCACTCCAATCGATAGGTGAACGAAAGAAATATGATATTTGCTTCAGTATCCCAATCGGTTTCCCGATTTGTAGTTTCTTTTTCAATTCAAAAGAACCCGGTGAAGAATAATTATTTGTAATGCATGATTCTGCAAAGCTTGAACAATCTTCATCAGTGCTCTGTGATTCTCCTTCACAGGCACCTAGCACTGTTGTTGGAGACGGATTTTCGCACTTTCGTTTTGAATAAATCTCATTTTTGTCTGATGAAAATGAGTTTTCTATCTTTTCTGCACTCCAGGTGTTTAATGCTTGATCAAATTCTGTTACAAAACCGAAATCAAAAGCTCCATTTAAGTTTTTTTTTTCTTATAAATATGAAAAATTTGCGCTTGTTTGGTTCACAGTATTGGACGGTACTGCTAACCTTGAGTGCGTCTGGATTTGGAATGAAAATATTGTTGCTGGCATTTAGTTGGGTCGAGCAAGATTAAAGAACAACCTTCAGGAACATGCTGGAAGCAATACTTTGAAATGGTACGAGGAGGTCTAATGGCAAACAGAGAAAATGAAATTCTTGAAATTTTCTTCTTGAAGATTTTTGTGAATATTGATGATGTCCCTGACCTGTTTGATTGGTTCTTTTTCCCACCAATGAGAAGATAATCTGCTGCAATGCTTTTTGTTTCTTCAATAAGACCTCTACCGGCACTAGAATTGAATCCAACTCTAGCCTCCAAATTAACCTGAAAATGGAGAATTTTTTGGATATTTTAATTAAAATTCTAAATGCCGTCCAATTGAGCCCCCGTTTGACACCAATTATTTTGAAGAATGAGTTTTTNAAAATTCTAAATGCCGTCCAATTGAATTTTGAACTAGAGTTTACTAAGAATTCTCGCCTCTTTAGATATACAAGTCTTAACAAGCTCTCCCATTATGGATATGACATATGATTTCGCCAGTCGAATTTGTTTTTGATATTTTCTTGCCGACTGCCCTTTGTTATTTATCTCTTTCCTTCGAACCAAAGAATTTTTGTTGGCCTTAGGCACTGTTTCATCACACATACACGAAAGAAGAAAATGCATGAAAATATTTCATTGGACTATCATTTACATTGGCAAACAACTAAGATAAATAAGTTGCGTATCAGAATAATTTGACTAACCGACAACATGTAAGGCGATAACCGTGTCGCCCGGTCGAGCTAGAACTCTGATAGCCCAAGAGAGAAGGGCTTTACTTTGATCAGAATCTAGTGATATCCCAATAAGAATTTTAGCTGGTGATGAAGGAACCATGTCTAGACTTGACTTGTCTTGCCTTGGGAAAAATAGATATTTGTACTTCACAATCTTCTTGTTTTATCCACAATGGAAGGACAGGTACCCTATAATATATACTCTTTGAAATTTCCTTATTCAACAAGCATAAAATAGCTTTTAACTGTGTCAAGTGAACTACTTATTAATTAGTGTGCAGTGTGCTTTTGGGCTACAATTAAGTGTTTTATGGTTGGGTGCTTTGGGAGATAAGCAAAGGTGGTGGAATATATTTGATTTATCTTGTTACATAAGCTAGGACCAGAATCCTCTCATTCTGACTTGCTACAAAAAAAGTGTTTCTTGGTTGAGTTTGGTGGAGAGGCATTATGTGCCACTCAAAAGCGTACCTTACTTTTTCTTAAACAAAACTTTGAGAGGACTCGATTCATCTATATTTTATCATTCTCTTAGCTAACCAGTGTCTCTCTTCGGCCAAATTTCCAAACGAAGTCAAGGGGCCAAGGACACTAGCCCGCATTGAGAAGGGGCCAGACCGTGCTGCCAGAGTTCAATGCGTGATGTTTACAATTGCATGCATTACTCTGTTACGCACATCAGGTCTAAAAGGAACGACCCGAGCATGATGGAGTTCAATGTCACGCATGCGAGAATAAAACTTTGAAAGAACACTATCCACCCTGTAAGATTGGAACATAATTTATTTTGAAAATAGAGGAATCATAAAAATCATGTTTGCGAACTTGGAAGTCTGTCCTAAAGCGAACAGCATTTGATTTCATGTAACAATAGCAATCACTAACAGAGTTACAAGGCTTTGATTATACTTCAATAATATGGCAATGGCAGTTCCAAACTGCAGAGCACAAACTAAACAATTCATTTAGTAATCAATGACACACAATAATGTTGTCAAATTTTTATGGAATACTAAAGAAAGGTGTTTGAGGATGAATTTTTTTTTGTTTTTTGCTCACATGAAAGGAAAACTCAGTTTTAACTGCATGCATATTCATATTTGACATTCTCATTAGCAGAACACAAAAGGCAGACAAATTCCATCAAAAGGGCTATATCATAATAACACAAAGATCCTAAAGCAAAAAAGAAAGAATAAAACATTCATCTGGCATTAGTATCAATGTATATGTCAAAACATAACTATAACTAAAGTATTATACATTTTTGCTCATTCTTCTGTTCCCATAACGTTCGTGAGGGTCGTGCATCTTCAGGGAATCCAACGCACCAAATACGCCATATACACTGCTTTCATTTTCGTTAATACTAGTATCCTCATCGCTCACCTGATCAAGAGCCATTAAATCTTCTCCATACCTTACACTTCTAATTCTCATTGGCTTCATCTTTGGCTCGTACCCATTTAATAATCCAACCACTTCCTTCATCGTGGGCCGCTTCTCGGACTCACTTTGAACACACAATGCAGCAATATTAATAGTTTGAATTAATTGAATTTCATCAAACTTTCCATTTAGCTTGGGATCCACGAGATTTTTAAACCTTCCTTTGGTTATCAATGGCTCAGCCCACTCTGTGATGGTTCGCTTAATACCACCGTGAAGTTTCTCAATAGGCTTTCTACCAGTGACAATTTCAAGCAGAAGAATTCCGAAACTGTACACATCACAACTCTCCGAAACTTTTCCCCACATTGCATATTCTGGTGCTAGGTAGCCCAGTGTGCCTTTTACTCGCGTTGTCATGTGGCTAACGCCCTCTGGGATCAGCTTGGCAAACCCGAAATCAGCTACCAATGGCTCGAAATTTGAGTCCAAAAGCACGTTACTAGCCTTGATGTCTCTGTGAATAATATGGGGCGTCACCTCATGGTGCAAGTACCTACATATAATGCAAGCAAAATACAATCAGAATTTCAAAACTCAAGCAACTCTTAGATGATTTTACAGGCTTAAAGTGGGGTTTCGTTCAAAGAAATGACAGTTACTATAATAATAATAATGAACATGCATATATATGCTGACAAACTATGAACCTAAAGTTATATAAAAAGGTTCCAATTGCAAAGTTGTATCTGATTAGTAATAGCACACCCCCTCAAATTATGACTTTATGATACTTTGTTTTTGATTCTCCGAGAATGAATTCCTTAAACAATCAAATTCTTTTATTCCTTTACCAGGTGTTATAATAAGAATGGAAATATGACTTCTGTTCTTTCTAGATGTCAAATTTTCTCACTAGTAATTCAGACATTTAGTAGCATGTTCGGTACGTTGCACTCGATAACGTTGAGCAATATCAGAAAAGAAGTCAAAACAGATAACAAGCTTTCAAATGATCTATTTCAGTTTGCATGTGTGGTTGAATCTTACAGTAATCCTTCAGCGGAGCCGAGCACAATCTTCATGCGCGTTTTCCAATCGAGTTGAGATTCTCCAGCAAATTGTCCGTGAAGATGCGAAAGCAAACTGAGATTTGGCATGTAATCATAAACAATGAGGCGTTGATCATCTCCGGCACAGTAACCTCTCAGGCCTAATAGATTCTTGTGGCGTACTCTTCCAAGAACTTCAACTTCAACTGCAAATTCCATTTCAGCCTTAGAGTTCATAGACTTCAATTTCTTAACTGCTATCTGCATATGGAACGACAAAGTATATATAAATTAATTATAAGGCACATCTGACTTTATATTGCCATCTATTTTCTCAATCTAAAGTTTGATCGCGACGAGTGAACCACTAATATATAGCCCCAGTTTGGTATTGATTCAAATCAGATTTTAATCTAACTTAAAGTCAAACAATCAATACTAACCACATATTTCATTGATCCTACAATTTTTTAACCAAACATTCCATTGGCTTTTATCAAAATCTACAAAAAATCTAATTTTAATATTTGCCAAACAAGGGCATAATGACATTTCTAATGGTTTAAACTTTTTGCTGAGGTGGTTTAATATGATATAAGAGTAGAAATCCTTGGTTCAGATCTCCAAGGGTTTAGACTCTATGAAACTTGTTACGTCTTGTCTGACGTGTCTCCAAGTATAGGCCACGTAGAAGCCAATTAGCAACACTCATCAGGCCCCCATTCCAGATCACTATCCCACCTGACTTAGCTGAGGCCATACACAAATTAGCCAAATTGGTGCACCACCTTAGTCGAGGTCCCATCTAGAGGCCGGACCCTCCATGACCTAGACGAGGTGCCATAACCTACTGCAGAATAAATCCAAGGCAATTAGCCTTTTAATGAGAGAAGACATCTCCCACTTCACGTATTCCAAGCAGATCTTTCGTACAAGATCTTTTTTATGATTTATTGATGTGATATCTTTGCAACAGATGCCTCACAATCAACTTGTCAGTCTATATTTCAGAGATCAAACCTAGGCTAGTGACTACTTTTTTAGAAATATTAAATGTCCCTAAACCTAGAATTGATAAACTGACACCTACGAGAAGAACCTCAACCATGAGGATGTGGCCACGTATTTTTCCATCATTGGTAACCACTCATCATCTTCTACTATAAAAGTTCACAATTAGTGCCATTTGAAATTAATGCATTTTACACTCCCGTAGTAATATTGCTTTCATTTGTCATGTCTTATTACCTTGGTGCTCGTAGACTATTTGGATCATGACTTCCATATGTTCCCCACCCAAATACATCTATACAAGTTGACTGACTTGATTGTCATAGTGCTCGCGATCGTTTTCCCCACCTCTTGAGAAGGCCACATGTTCTAAAGTTTGTTCGAGTGTATAGGAGCCATACACAAGGACATGCGTGGAGCCGAAATTTGTTAACCACATCATCCACCTAGAAATTGAGGTCAACAGATTGGATGGCGTAATAGTGCTTTTTTAGTTTCCGTTAAAGTAGAAAACTTGCAAATAAGAGAAGGAAGCCATTCATCAAGCTCATCTGAGCCATTAAAATGAAAAGACACTACTATCCAAAGGACCAAATGAAGCAGTGTTACTCAAATGTGCGTGAGTTCATTGACCTTGAACATGAACAACCATAGATCATCGTTAGCATTAATAACCTGGAGACACGTGTCTTGGAAAGGGCGACGCATCAGCTGAATTTTTTAAAAACACGCAACAATTTTTAAATCATTGGCACGCACCCCAAAAATGTCTGCTCAGCTCAGAGACTTCAAATCACCTCTGCCACAACATTCCATTTCATGACCGAAAAGGTAACCATACAGTTCAAAGTCTTTTTCTCAAAGCTAGGACCTAGCCTCTACATCACAGCATCTTTTAGAGCCTCATCCTCAATGCTAGGACCCTCGCCTTCGCATAACAGTTTCATCAAGCTTCCTATCTATCAAAGCCTCATCCTTAATGATTGGACCTCACATTATCATGACAACTTCGTTAAGCTATCTATCTTTCAGAGCTTCGTCCTTAGTGTTGGACCTCGCCTTTGCAAATCCCACTCATACAGCTGCAACGCAAGGTATAAAAAATACTCAACACAAAAGTTCATGCGTCATATAAATATCCATACTAGAACTTGGAGGACTATTGGGTTGAGCTCAAACACAACTAAACAAGTGATTACCTTGTCAGCACGACTCTATACAAAGGTAGAATACTCCACGCCAAAACATCATTTCGACAATGGATCACCCCATAATTTTATGTTCCACTCAACCCAAAAGTCCATACATTATATAAATATCCATACATGGACTTTGGGGACTATTGTTACACTTCATATGTCGAGGCTCCAAGTAGAGGCCATGTGGCAGCTATTTAGCAAGCCTCATTAGCCCCACAATCTACATCACTATCCTACTTGGCCTAGCTAAAGCCATAACTAAGGTAGTCGAAGTAATATAACCTCAGTCTTTTGTGCCATGTAACCCACCATGGCCTATGCGAGGTGCCTAACCTTGAGGCAATTAACCTCTTAATGAGAGAAGGCATCTCGTACTTTACCTATTCCAGGAAGATCTTTCGTACAAGATCTTTCTACAATTGATTGATAAAGATCTTTCTATAATTGAT